CGCCGCAGCAGCAGCAGCAACAGCAGCAGAGACAGCAGCAGCAACAGCAGCAGCAGCAGCAGCAGCAGCAACCCCACAGTGTGTCTACCTCTTGCTTGAGTAAATTAATACAATAAAAATAAATTATAAGGAAAAAAAGAGCAGCAGCAGCAGCAAAAAAGTGTAGCTGCTGCATGCTGACCAATGGCCCCGCAGCAGCAGCAGCAGCAGCAGCTGCTGCTGCTGCTGCAGGTGTTATGCTGCAGTTGGTTCTTGTTGCTTGTGTTGCTGGTGTTGTTGTCTTGTATACATTTATTTTTCTTCTTTTGTTTATTTATTTTATTTTATTTAGTTTATTATTTTAATTGCTGCTGCTGCTGCTGCTGCTGCTGTTGCTGCTGCAGCCTTTATATAGGGCCCCCTTCCCTCCTCTCCCTTCTCTCCTCATTAAGGCCTTCTTGTCTTTTTATTCATGGGGGGCCCCCGCCCTGTGGCCTCTCCTTCTTTTATTTCTTCTTATTCTTGTCCTTCTAGTACCCTCTTTTCTTCTTCCTTAATGCCATTACCTCCTAGGGGGGCCCCCCTCGATTCAAGTGGGTACCCTCCACAGTTAGGGGGCCCCCCAGGGCCCCCTCCAGCAGGGGGCCCCCCAGTCCCCACTAGACTTCCTTCTACGGATACTTCTTCGTCCTCCCATAAAGACCCAAATATAGAATATATAGTGCCGCCCTCTGGGGGCCCCTCTGGGGCCCCCCTAGGGCCCCCCCCCTTGGGTCCCCCTGGGGGCCCCTTTGACCAGGAAAAAATATTTTTTCCCCAAACTAACGGGGAGTCCCTTTATGACCCCCCTCCTGGGGCCCCCCCCGAAGATCCCCCAGGTTGGGGGCCCCCACCAGAGGGGCCCCCCCAAGATTATTATAATATAGGGTACAAGAGTAATTGGTATAAAGAGGAGGTACTAAGTGAATATAATAAATATATATTTAATGGTGATTTATGTTGTAAGTTATGGTTTAGTATAACAAGAAGAGATACATTAGATGTATTAATAATAATAAATAAATTATTAATAATAGCATTAACTAAACAAAGAAAAGAATTAAATCAGCATATACCTCAAGATATTATCTCCTTATTAACTGCACATACACCCCAATCTTGTTGTATTGCTAATCATAAACTTTTCTGGCCTTTTCCTCCTTCCTTAATTAAGGCCCTTCCTCATATACAAGTATGCGGTACCCTTTTATAGTACCCTTTGGGGGGCCCCCCCAAAGGGGGGCCCCTCCAGGGGGCCCCTCAAGGGGGCCCCCCTCCTTGTACCTTTGTCTTCTTGACCCCCTTCGTATAAAGTGTCATCTTTTCTGTCTCCTTATAATGAGTCTCCCTTTTGTCTCCTTTTTGTCTCCTTTTTGTCTCCTTCCCTTCCCCCCTCCTCCACCCTCGTAATAAAGTGTCCCCTCTTGTGTCTCCTTATTAAGTGTCTCCTTTTGTGTCTCTTTTTTGTCTCCTTTTGTGTCTCTTTTTGTCTCCTTTTGTGTCTCTTTTCTGTCTCCTTTTCTTGTATTTATATTATACGTCTCTTAATGTATAAGATACATAAAAAGACCCTTTTTTTTTGCCATAAACCCTAAACCCTAAACCCTAAACCCTAAAAAAAAAAAGTGTCTCCTTTTTGTTTTGTGTCTGCTTTTTTCCCTGTATCCTTATTGTCTCCTGTTGCAGCTGTTATGTGTCCCTCAATGTATGGGGGATATAATAACACAACGTTCTTGTCAATTACATTGGGGAATAAATGTGTCTCCTTTTATTAAGGCAGAGAGTAGTAATTGTGCAGGTCCTTGTTTTATTCGTCTTTGTCCCCTTTGTATTGATTCTCTTCTTTGTGGTCAACAAAGTTATATATTACAATTAACATTAAGAAGATTATGTGCTGTACGATATAATTTATAAACCCTAAACCCTAAACCCTCATATAAACCCTAAACCCTAAACCCTAAACCCTAAAAAATCCGAACTCCTAAACCCTCATATATCTTGAGAAACCCTAGGGAAACATAAATCCTCACATATATACCCAATTAAGCCCTAATAAACCCTAGTAAACCCTAGTAGACCCTAATAATATGCCGAGGGTATTCCATACATTTCTAAGGGTTTAGGGTTTAGGGTTTAGGGTTTAGGGTTTGTGATGCAGGAGAGAAGAAGAAAGGGTTTATGTGTTAAAACCCCCGTATGTTGGGGTTATCATTGTAGTGGGGCCCTTATGCCTAAGGATATAGGTCTTGAGGATAAGAAGGAAGGGGGCCCTCTTGGGGGCCCCTCAAGAAATAAGAAAATGGGTACACTTGCTGCTGCTCATGCTGCTGCTGTTGCTGTTTTGTTAGTACCAGTCAAATATACAAGGGTTTAGGGTTTAGGGTTTGCATGGTCTAGGGTTTAGGGTTTAGGGTTTACGGTTAATCAGAGGGCAATGTGTCCCCTTGTGTCTTCCTGTCTCCTTTATATATATATATATTAT